ATCTATTATAATAAAAAAAATTATATATTATAATATATTATTATTATTATTATTATTATTATTATTATTATTATTAATTTGCGATTGTGTGCGTGAAAAATGTTATTGATTTAGTACCCCATCGAAAAAAAAAGAGGAATTGATTGAACTTTTTGTTAAAACGAAACGTTACTTCTTACCTTTTCTCTTTTTCCAGATTGATTTCGACAATCATTGCACCCAATTGCTCGTTCATGTTTTTCATGGCATTTTCCGCAGCTAATTCCTTGCCATTCATGGTTTCCTTTAATTCCATTAGCCTGAAGCAAGTTAATCGAAGAGAAAAATACCGTGTAGAGATAGAAAGAAATGGTAGAAGACAATGAAATTGTTTGTTAAAGAAAAATTGTTTCAAAAAGAAAGAGAGAAGAATTAGATAAATAATTAATTTCAAAGCGATTGGCTATTCGGTAAAAACAAAGAGAACAACCGTGCTTCGAAACTGTCCCGTTGTTTTTCCATTTTCGTAACCAATCCCTCGCTGTTTTTTATTGTCTTTTGCATATCCTTCAAACGTTGTTCCATTATTTGTTCCTTGGTTTTGATTTGATTCTCCAACGATTTGTTTAACATTTGCAATTGTTGTATTTTCCCGTCGTCGTTGATTATTTTATTTTCAAGGTCGCGAATTTTGGCACGTGCCCTTTGCAATTGTCCCTCGTTTTGCATACGACGTTCCTTTGTCAAATGATGTTTTTCACGTTCAGTTTGTAATTCCTCATTGATTATCGTTAATTTTTCACGAATATCTTTATACTCGTCCAACGTTTTAGATAATTCTTTAACACGCGTACGAGAATTTTCGTATTCGTTGTAAAAATCGTGAATATTTTTCATCAATACGTTTATTATTTCCAATTGATTTGTTTTGATTTCATCAAATTGTGATTTTAACGAAATGTTATCATTGCGATACGCGTCAATACGCATTATCAATTCCGTATTAGGATTGTCAGTATCCTTTTTACATTCGTTTATAATATATTCGATATTATTATCCACAATCGAATGTTTCTTTAATAAATCATTACAATAATTTTCGTATCCTTTAGTTATTTCTTTTAATTTGTCGTTCAACGTTATCACGAATTCGTTGTTAATGTTGTTACTATGATTATTTATTATTGTATTATTAATATTAATTGTTTTTTGTTCGTTGGAATGTATTTGTTGTTGTTGTTGAATTTTTGGTAAAGTCGTTTGGATTTTAGTTGACTCGATTTCAATGATTTTAAGTTCATCTAATTTTCCAGGATCCTTTGCACCATTTAATATCATTTTTTCACGTAATTGTATTATATCTTGATATAAATCTTGTGTTGTTTTCTGATCAAGTAAGAAAAATATAAACGTTTAATAAATTATATTATTAATCATTTTATATAATCTTGATTTATTTTTTTCTCTTTGTTAGATTTAAAATAATTCAAAACTAACTTAACAATTCTTACTTGTTTTTGCAAGAGTTGGGTTTTAAGTAACACGAAACGTTTCTTTTTAGCGAAGTATTGATTCTCAAGTTCGCGTGCTTGTTTCGCCATTGTAATTGCATTTACTGGCTTTTTATTTATTATTTTCATAGTCGAACGACGAGCCGAATTTGTAGCAGGTGTTTCGATAGATGAATCTTCTAAAATAGTTAACTGTTGTTGTTCTTGTTGTTGTTGTTCTTGTTGATCGTTGGAAGAATTTTCCTGATGAAATAATACAAATATTATTTATACTTATACTTTTGATAGAAAAATTTGCATTAATTTAATTATTAAATTATACAATAATA